TCCCTATCAAACTGTCTTGGTACCCTTACAAAAAACTAACTGAACACAAATGTATGGGTTTATTTTCGCCTCTCAATTCTATCCCACTGAGCTGTATATCTATGTTTGTCAGTACCACACTTGATTACTGTAGCTTTGCAGCAAGTTTTTAAATCACGCAGTGTGAGTCCAACTTTGTTCTTTTTTTCAAGAATTTTTGGCTATTCTGGTCCTCCTGGGATTTGGTATGAATTTTAGAATCAGCTTGTCAATTTCTGCAAAGAAGTTAACTGGGATTTGTATAGTAATTGTGTTGAATCTGTAGGTCAATGTGGAGAATGGTACCATTTTAACAAAATTGTCTTCCAGTCCATGAACAGAGGTCTTTCTGTTTATTAGGTCTTCTTTACTGTTTACCAGCTCTAACATTTTGAGGGGGGGGGGATTCTTTGTTTTTCTCTATCTAAGATCATGCCATTTGCAAATAGAGGTAGTTTTACTTCTTCCTTTCCAATCTGGCCCCTTGTATCTTTTCCTGCCTAACTGCGCTATTACCTCCACTACTGAACAGCAGTGGTGATAGTTCTCTTGCTCCTGATCTTAGGCGGGCAAAGCTTTCAGTTTTTCACTATTAAATATGTTAACTGAGGGTTTTTTTGGTAGATGTTCTTTATCAGGTTGGGAAAGTTCCCTTCTATTCTTAGTTTATTGAGCATTTTTAAAAAATCAGTAAGGACATTGGCCTGGCCAGGACGGCTTAGTGGTTGAGCATCGACCTATGAACCAGGAGGTCATGGTTTGATTCCCAGTCAGGGCACATGCTGAGGTTGCAGGCTTGATCCCCAGTAGGGGTGTGCAGGAGGCAGCCAATCAATAATTCTCACAATTGATGTTTCTATTTCTCTTTCTCTCCCTCTCTGAAATCAATATATATATATATAAAGAAAAAGACATTGGATTTTGTCAAATGTTTTTCCTGCATCTATTGAGACAATTCTGTGGCTCTTGTCCATTATTCTATTAGTATGGTGTATTGCTTTGATTGATTTTTGTATGTTGAATCAATCTTGCATTCCTTGGATAAATCTCACTTCGTCATAGTGTATAATCCTTTTCCATATGTTGTTTGATTCAGTATGTTAATTATGTTGAGGGGTTTTGCCTCTATATTCATAAGGGATATTGATTTTTAGTTTACTTTTCTTGTAATGTCTTTATCTGGTTTTGCCTCTGCTTGGAATGCTCTTACTGATCTCGGCATGGCTGGCTCCTTACTGTTTTTCAGATCTCAGCTTAAATGTTAGTTCAGAGGTCTTCCCCATCTAGCCAATCTAAAATAACCTCCAGTTAGTTTATCCTTTTAAAATTTTCATCAAAGAACTTATCACACTATCTGATATTTTCATTTAGTTGCTTATTTGTTGTCTTCCCACATAATTTTATCTATAGTACCTGGGATAATGCCTGACATAATATGGGTGTTAAATATTGTTTAATGAATGAATAAGTAATAGCAGATATCATTTAATGAGTACCTCCTCTGTGCCATATACTGTAATCTGGTCATAATAGATGCTTTATATATATTATATCAGCCCCAATTTTCTGAAGAACAAACTAAAGATCAGAGGTTACTTAATGTTACTGACCTAAAGTGGTTAAAATGGTAAATTTTATGTTATGTATATTTCACCACAATAAAAAATGAATTTCAGAACTTCTAAGGTTTAGTTTATGAGACTCATTCCTAAATAAAAATATTTTGAAAGTGAAGTACACACAAAATTAAGTAAAACTGTTTTCTGACTTCCAACTTACTATACTTCCAATGGCACGATGAAGTCTGAATATTTCCTCTGAAGTTTGTTCCTCCCATTTTATACAGCTGGTACGAGCAGAAATCTTAGGGGCTACAAGATAAAGCCAATGGCAAAAACGAATAGCAAGTTCAGTGTCCATGAACTGATAACTACTGATACTGAATAATAGATACAAGATTAATTCGTTACATTATTTTCTCAATTTTTGTATATGTTTGAAATTTTCCATAATACAAAATAAAAATAAATAAATTATGCAGGTACTAGAAGAAAACATGGGTGAATTTCTTTATAACCTAAGTATAGAAAAAAAATCCTCTAATTCAAAATTCAAACGCAATTAAAGAAAAGGATCATAAATGTGACGACATAAAAATAAACTTTTGCAAGACAAAAAGAAATGCTATAAGTCACGCATTGAGGGGCATGAAGGAGGCAGCCAGTCAATGATTCTCTCTCATCGTTGATATTTCTACCTCTCTCCCTCTTTTCCTCTCTGAAATCAATAAGAAAATATATTTTTTAAAAAAGTCAGTAACATGGAAGGGAAGAAATAGTGGAGGAATTAATTATTATAGATTAAAGAGAATAAAGGGACATAACAACTAATTACAATTGGATCTCAATTTGAAAAATATACAGCATAAAATGTTTTTAGACAATTAGGAAAATTTAAATATGGATTGGATATTAGATGCTATTGTGAAACTGTTCATTTTTCACGATCATGCTAACGTGTTTAGGGATGAAAGGTCATGATGCATACTTCCAAATGGTTAAGCAGAAATTAAAATACATATACTAAACAAACACACATTTAGAGAAAACAAAGGAAAATATGGCCAAACACTAATAATTGTTGACTCTGGGTTACATAAATAGTCAATCTTTCAACTTATCTCTGTGTTTGATACTTTTCAACGTAAAGAGTAGAGAAAACATTTCTATTCTTTCATGAAACTGCATGTTAACAGGGAGAGGGAGACCTTACCAACCATTCTTTTTTTAAGTATATTTTATTGATTTTACAGAAGAGGAAGAAAGAGGGATAGAGAGTTAGAAACATCAATGAGAGAGAAACCGATCAGCAGCCTCCTGCACGCCCCTTACTGGGGATGTGCCTGCAACCAAGGTACATGCCCTTGAACGGAATCAAACCCAGGACCCTTCAGTCCGCAGGCTGACGCTCTATCCACTGAGCCAAACCAGTTAGGGCAACCGACCATTCTTTAGAAAAGGACATAAAGGGCGAGGGCTACGCCCTCCATATCAATCAATGTTTCCATTTCTCTCCCTTCCTTTCTCTAAAATTAATAAAAACATTTATTTTTAAAAATCAACCAATGAATGCGTAAAGAAGTGGAACAACAAATCCATGTTTCTCTCTCTGTCTCTCTCTCCCTCCTTGCCTCTCTCTAAAAATCAATAAAGAAAAAGAAAAAAGACAAAGGAAATCTATGGGAGGGATAAGAGTCTCTGAAGCTTTCACTTACCATGTGTCACCCCCTCAGTTGGCTGCTGCCTTCCATTCTTCAAACTTTCAGGCAAATTTTTCAAAACTGAAATAAGCTAAAAAAGGAGAGCAATATATTCAAGATGAAAAGAACAAAAGCAGAAATATATTACAACTCAGTATCATGAAATTACTATCTATAGCTTTAAACGCTGTGTGGCAGGTAAGGTAGTAAACTGGCCCAAGCGGTGAGCACACGTGTCTACTCGGTGGGGATTCAGCAGAGATGCTGCTCTCTGTAGAGTGCAGGTCACTGATGTGCTTCCAGTGAATGCTGAGCTTTGATGGATGTGCAAGCTTTCAGGATCAGGGCAGACTATGCTCGGTTATCCACACTCTCACCCTGCAGGGAGGAAGGCAGTGGAGCCTCTCAGAGTGTACTCTGGGATCACATAGTTCTGGATTCAAATCCCAATTCCACTACCTACGAGCTGTGTCATTGTGGAAAAGTTATTTTACTTGTCTGTGACTTCAGTGGCATCATCTGTAAAACAGTCACCAGCAAGAGCTACCTCAAAGTTTGTTGGAAAAGTAAAAAAAATAAGTCTATAAAGTATCCTGGCACACAAGTCAGTGCTCAATAAATGACAACCACTATTATAGTAGCATTTTCAAGGTGAGTGCCTGGAATAGGACACCATCTATATAGTTGGGGGAAAAGTTTCCTTCTATAGAAAATTAACTAGTTCATATGAAAATCATTAATTTGGTTATTAAGCATTTACTCAGACCCTACTGTATACAGATTCAATGAGCTATACAAAGCCATGGAGTTCATGTATAGCTGGGGGTCAGCAGAATTCCAGTGCATATGGATGCAAATGACTGGAACACAGGCACAGAAGTGCTTGGAGGGAAGCCACGAGTCACTCAGGAAATTCGGATGAGACTGAGGAGAGTGAAACTGGGAAGGATAGTTTAAAGCAGAGGTTCTCAATCTGTGGGTCGCCAACCTGTGGGTCGCGACCCCTTTGGGGGTCGAACAACCATCGGAAAACACATATATAATTAAATATTGTTTTTGTGATTAATCACTATGCTTTAATTATGTTCAATTTGTAACAATGAAAATACATCCTGCATATCAGATATTTACATTATGATTCATAACAGTAGCAAAATTACAGTTATGAAGTAGCAACGAAAATAATTTTATGGTTGGGGGTCACCACAACATGAAGAACTGTATGAAAGGGTCGCGGCATTAGGAAGGTTGAGAACCACTGGTTTATGCCTTGCTGTGAAATTATGGCCCACATAAGATCAACATGTTTCATTTGAAAACCTTTATTAAATACCCAAACTGTGTAAATTCTCAGACACACATGAGACCATAAATGCCATGTTAATTTTTAGGAAGTCAGGGATAGAAATCACTCTTAAAGAATTAAAACCATATATCATAAAATTGTTCTTCTTATCATAACCACTTAGGAAATCTACTAAATGAATAAAAGCAGTGGGATATCGAGAACTGTACCATGTTGGCACCCAGTCTTGACAGCACTACTTCCAATTCCTTTGCAGTGCTCTTGGGGGGCACAGGAATGGTTTCCTGTTTGAGAATTGGACCTACATCAAATCTACAAAAAAAAAAAATAGTAATGTGATTACTGACAGTTTCTTTCAATCAAAATGTCTGTCTACATGAGCGTTTACACACTACCAGGATAGTTTAACCTTGGCCACAAATTTGACTGTTAGCCATTAGCAAAGATAAATGTCAGTTTGAAAGAAAGGTGAGTAAAATCTGGCCTATACTTAGATTTTAAATTTATTTTTCTTAATGGGTAAAAGTATAAAGTTGCATATCAGGGGTTTGATTGCAATTATAGATAAATCTATCATTAGTAATAAATACTATGAAAAAAAATCTCTATTTGTATAATGAAATCATAGAGCAAAGAATTTCTTTTCCAAGGAAGTACAATAAAAACATTCCTAATTATTTCTTTCTATATTTCCTTTCTCAAAGGACAAGAGTTTTGCCTAGATTATAATCACTGTTGATTATAAGTAGGTGCAAGTACATTTGCATTCCCACAAGTCTTATATTTTACATCAAGCTCTGAAATACTGGCCATTAGTTTTTATTGGAAATATGCTTTACTTTGAATATTTAACTTTGTAGACCTGTTAATTCTATTTTTAACCTATAAGTTTTAGTAAAATGTTTATTACGAAAAATCACAAACATTCACAAAAACAGTGAATAGTCTAATGAATCACCATATATACATTACCCAGATTTTAGAATTATCAAAGTTTTGACACTCCCCCCACCCTTTTTCTGAATTAAAGCAAATCCCAGATACTGAGTTGTTCCTCTGAACTTGTGAATTATTAGTTTCTATGAGAACATAAGGTGACAACTGGCAGAGTCTTAATACATTCCTGAAGCAGTTGTAAGTAATTATTTCTTGGACTGCAGGTATAATAAAAAAATTAAATGTTAAAGAAAATTATTGGTATACAATATATTCTTTTTTTTTTTTTTTTTTTTTCATTAAAATTAAATCTACCTGCACCACTACCATCTATTATCATTGGCACCCGGGACCTTTACGTCCGCAGGCCGACGCTCTATCCACTGAGCCAAACCGGCTTCGGCTACAATATATTCTTATGTCAAGTTCCAAAACATTTTTGACCATAGTTTTACTATAGAAACCAGGGCCAGTAGAACCAAGATTCATAGCAACTACTATACAGAAATCCATTTCTCATTTACATAACATCTTTTATAAAAATCCAGTTGCTAATAATATAATTTATTTCAATTAACAAGTTAAAAATGTCACAAGGGCATAAATACCAAAACACACATGGCTTATGTTAGAAACCAGGAAAAAACAGAAAAAGTATAAAAGCAAAGGAAGGACTCTGGAGTTGGAGAAATTAGAGCACCATCCATTCATCCATACCCAGCCCCTCCAATGAACTGATATCAACATTCAAAATCACCAAGAAAACCTCAAGAAAATAAAATAAGCTCTTACCTTTTAGGCCTGATTTGCATAATTGTTACTCCAGCAATTGTGTCTCCGTGAAGCACAGTATGGATTATAGGGGCTGGACCACGCCACCTTGGGAGGCAACTGGGGTGGACATTCAATATGCCACTGAGTTAGAAAAGGCAGAAATTAGTATGCAAGGGGGTTGTGCCATTTAGTTACTGCTATCTAAACTAATATGCTACCTTTTATCATTAAACTTTCCCCAAATTTTTGAAAAACTAACAGTTAAATCTAGTCTTGTACTACCAGAACAGGGAGCCAGAGCTAAATTCACTCTACCATAAGAGACCAATGAAACTCAATTAAAAACAGAGCAAGAATAACTATTGACTGTTACAAAGATGTTGCAAAACAGCTCATGATGTCTGGGTGTTTTTAAACAACAACAACAAAAAATGCACTTTTTTTTTTTTTTGCTTTACTATATGAGAACCATTCAAACCCTGTCATGCATCTCAGTTTAGTTACATAATTACCCTCACTTCTCTCGGTTTGCATATAGATGCCTAAAACAAACTTCTTTTAGTACCATCACCTTCACTATTTATCCCAATACTCCTATCACCCATTAATGATCAATTTAAACAATTTGCTGATCTGTCATTAGTTTAATGTCTCTCATGAGTATGCACTTGAGAATGTGTGAATATGGGTCTTATATTCTAAGTTTCACAGTTCAGCTCAGTCTTACTCCTTCAACGAATATTAACTGAGCATAATGCATGTGCTGGCAATGTGCTAAGTGCTGCGGATACAAGCAACAGTGAGCCAACCTGTCCTCAGGGAGCTTATGTGACCATGTGAGTGGAAGATAAGAATAAAAAACAGATTATGTAAAAAGTTTGTCAGTGGTGCTAAGGGCTATGGAGAAAAATAAAGCAGAGAAGGGGATAAGACTATTGGGTGGGAGATTACAATTTAAATAGTGGTTCAAGAAGGCTTTACCAGTAAGAAGACACTGGGAAGAAACATGAGAAGGTAGAGGAATAGCCATGCAGATATTCAGAAGAAAAGCTTTCCAGGCAGAGGGAACACTAGGCACAGTACAAAGGTTTTGAGGAAGGTAAATGCTGGCAAGTTCAGGGCACAGCAGGGAGGCTAGCGTGGCTGGAGTGGGGTAAACCTGAGGAATAGCACTAGGAAATGAGCCCAGAGCCAGCAGACCAAACCAAGTAAGCCGGTCCTCACAGGTCTTTAGCTTTTGAGTGAGATGGAAAACTACCAGAGAACTTGGAGCAGTGACTGGTCTGACTTATGCTTTAAAAGGATCATTTTGGCTGCTGGGTTGGTAAGAAAGTGAGAGGGCCAACGACAAAAGTAGAGGCCAGTTAGGAAGTACCTGCAGTACAACAGGTGCGTGGCCAGAGTGGACATGATGACAAAGACTCCAGACAGATGTCAAAGGCGGAGCCAGTAGTATTTCCAGATGGATTACATGTGTGGTGTGAGATAAGGAATTAAGAATGACTCAAAGGTTTGGGAGCTAGGCAACCAGAAGGCTGGAGGTCCCATCTGCTGGGGTGAAGATTTTGGGGAGGAGCAGATTTTGGGCAAAAGTTCAGGAATATAGTTCTGGACCTTTCAAATGTTGGATGTGTACTAGACATCCAAACAGGGCTGTGGAGGAGGCAGTGGGCATTAGGGACCTGGAATTCTGGGACAGATCTGAATTGGCGGGACACATTTGGGAGTTGTCAGCATATTATGAAATTTTAAAAAGTTTTTATTGATTTTAGAGAGAGGAAGGGGGAGATAGAAACATGGATGAGAAACATCAACATTTTTGTGGCCTCTTGCACGCCCCCTGCTGGGGATGGAGCCCGCAGCCCTGACCGGAAATACCCTGCTGACCTCCTGGTGCATGAGTTGCCGCCAACCACCTACCCACAGTGGCTGGGCAGCATATATATAAAATTTAAATGAGGGTGCGTGAAAGAGCATCATTCATTTTAACAATTCATACCATTAATAAAATGTTTTATTTTAAGAGAAAATACTAAAGAAAGAGCAATTAGAGTTCAAATTATTGCATTTTGTAAGTACCCGGTCCATGCATAAAGACCAAGGTCTCTCTACTATATTTCCTTATAAATAAAACTTACTAGGGAAATTTAAGAATAAGAGCCTCACTCAAAAGTCGGCCAAATGAAGCGACCACTCCAACATCATATTCTCCAGATCCCACATCTGGCCACTCATACACGGGCAGCTGCGACTGGACGGCATACTGCTTCACTGGCAGGCCTTTTGGTGATGGGGAAGGCACGGTGACCACCTCCAATTTTTCGATTAACTCTTCTTCTTTGTTGTCCCTTAATTGTAAAGATTGGAAGAAAATATGACAGTATTAAGACAATGAAAGTATTAAACTATTTCACACACCTCTACAGTATTTTTATGATTACATTCATAAGCAACTGAGAGACCGAGTTTTCACTTTTTAATGAATTTTAATTATTTTAAGTTTGGAGAGCTACATGTGGCTACTGACTACTGTTTGGACAGCATGGCTCTAGAGATATACAGAAACATATATAGTACAGACATTTTAAACAACTGGGACAGTACATATGCTGCTCCATATTTTGTTTCTCCCTCTTAACACTATCTATGCTATTATGGGAGTCTTTTGGAAAAGATGGGTTAATTATGCATTTGCTAATTTATGCAATGAACATTTCTAGAATAAGAAACTAAAAGCAGTGACTGTCTCTGAAGGGAGGAACTGGGGGATAAACACTTGGGGGGGGCAGGAATGTATTTCTTGGGCATCATTCCATGACAGTACATATAGCACTACCTCATTTTTTTTATCTGCTGCATAGTACTCCAGTGCCCAGAGGAACTGTTCATTGGTTTATTTAGCAGGTATTGCATCACATGTTGAGGAGTTCTGAGGAGTATACAGAGGGCCCCAAAAGAGCAGGAGTAATGGAGCCACCAAGTGAGGACCAGCAGAAGGGTCAGGATATTGCAGTAAGAGATGTGGGAGACAGTACGGGGAAAACAGCACGTGGAGAGTACATTATGTGGGGTATGCAAAGGGAGCAGGTGTGAAGAGAGAAATATGATACACGGGGATTGAGGGAGTCAATATGAGGGGCTGCTGTGAAGTGCATGTGGGGAAGGCCTGACGGAGATGACAGAAATGAGCGGGGAGCAGGACACATCAGGAAAAAACGGAGCAGGGAAATCTAAAATGGAGCCGTATACATGGGTATAGCCCCCACATATCATGAACTGTCGGGACAGGCTGGATCACAATTATTTTTTTTCTTCTAGTAAACAGTATTTGTTAACTTTTAAAAATACTAAATATATACCTAAGCGTTCTGCTTTATATATTTACTCACCTGGACCTGCTTTTTGGACTATGTCCTCATTCAGCCCCAGATAACTAGGCCCAGTTGTATACAAGAAGGGGGTGGGGAGCAAAGGAGTAAGACGGGGGTGTGCAGGGGATGCCTGCGCCCGTGAAGACGCCCAAGGGACTTGAGGTACAAATTAGAGGAATCCGAGGAGGTGGAAAGGGGAGGACTTGAAGTCACAGCATATTAGTCCCTGTGAGCTCAGATGAGGACCTTAGGCAATCAGTGGTTCTCAACCTTCCTAATGCCGCGACCCTTTAATACAGTTCCTCATGTTGTGACCCAACCATAAAATTATTTTCGTTGCTACTTCATAACTGTAATTTTGCTACTGCTATGAATCGTAATGTAAATATCTGATATGCAGGATGTATTTTCATTGTTCGCGACCCACAGGTTGAGAACCGCTGGCTGAGCTCCGGTTTCTCCGCGCGCAACCAGGCAGGGCGGTGGTCGGGCTGGAGGGAAGTGATGCCGCAAAGGGGGTAGCGCTCGGAGCACGAACGGACCGGGCCTGGAGTGCGGGGTGCAGACCCGACAGT